AACTGCGCCAGGATGGATGTGTCCGCGCAGCCTCTGCATGCCCTTCTGGGAACAATGAGCCCCAACAAAGGGATCTCGGCTTTCCCACGCGGTGAGCTCTGTTTCTCCCTCACTCGGGAAAGTGAGGCAGGAAAAGGGGGGCATTGTTCCGGGAGCCCAACCCCTAGACCACAGAGGCCAGGGCCCTTCCTCTGCTTTAGTCTGGACCTGCCACCTCCAAACTGCTCCCTCTGCACCCCTCTATTGCACACCCTACGTTGGCCTGGAGAAACTTCTCAGTTTCTGTTCCTTACGGAAGGCACCAGGCATCTTGTCTCCAGGGGAAACCCCGTCAGGCCCCGGCCCCTAGTTCCTTGGGCCCAGACATCCCCTAGGCAAACCTGGGAACTACTCAGGCTGAAAGACAGTCGAGGAGTCGCCGCATGACATTCCACAGCTCCCCAGACACTTTTTCACAGGTAAACAGTGGTTACTGAGCCCTAGTGTGAACAGCCTGGTGCTAAGGGCTCCAAAGGAATGTTTAAGACCCAGTCTCTGCCTCCCCGGAAGCTTACTGTCTAGCTGCAGAGAGAAGGCCCATCATAGACTCCCATTCAAGACTAAACGGCGAGATGTGACTACGGACGTGTAAGGAGTGGGTAACTGAAAACAAGTGCAAAGGTTCAGAGAAGTGCTAGCTCAAGACTCACTTCAGCTGAAACTGGAGGGCTTATCCGTTGCGAACAACCCAGGAAGCTCTACTTCGCTGGAGCAAAGAAGAGAAGGCACGGATGAAGAAGAATCCGCCTAGTTCTTCCACAGGGGACTGTTCCATCCTCAGTCATACATCACGTGATATTTTTCTGCATTTCACCAATGTCTAACTTTATGTTTCAGTTGTGCCTTTGGCTTTGGAAGTCAAACATTCATTCAATAAATATTTATTGCATATCAGTTGTGGAGGTTGGGGTGTAGAGGCAAAGTCTGGGACTAGCAAGGTACCAAGAACACAATGACTGTAGTCCTGTCCTTGGCGTCATCCCTGCCTTTGGCAAATCCAGAGGAAGAGGGAAGATCCTCCCTGCTTTACAGGTGGGTAAACTGGCCCAATGCAACTAGTTGAGTCAGAGAATCAGCCCAGCTTCTAAACTCTGCTAACTCTTTCACGAACTAGATCTAAACAGTTTGCATTTCTTGCTTATGAACCACATAAACTTTACTCTATCAGAAAGTAGAACTGAAGGGCCAACTTTTGCTCTTGAAGACCTGACTTCCAATTCTGCTCTGTCACTCAATGGCTTTAGTTTCCTTACCAGAAAAAAAATTGGAAATAACTGCAGTTACTCAAAGGGCTATTGTTGGTATTAAATTAGGCAACGGATATGAATTTGCTCTGGCAGTATAGTGTACTAAAAAAGTGTGAGCTGTTATTACGCAGGTAGATCCCTCCTCTGACAAGCTGTATTTAGGTCCCTCCCCC